GCCTTTATGCTCTTGCCTGCGTCCCCTCTCCCTCCCTCCCTGTCAGGTGCACCTGATGAAGCCAGACGTCGTCCCCAAGGCGTGCTGCGCGCCCACCAAACTGAGTGCCACCTCTGTGCTCTATTACGACAGCAGCAACAACGTCATCCTGCGCAAGCACCGCAACATGGTGGTCAAGGCCTGCGGCTGCCACTGAGACCCTGCTCAGCCCCCTGCTTCTGCTACCTTACCCGGCTGGTGTGGTCAGGTCCCTTTCCAGAGGCAGGAAACCCTCATATGCCATCATAGCTCAGACAGGGGCAGCAGGAGGCCCTTACTTCCCCTGGCCACTTCCTGCTAAAATTTTGGTCCTTTCCCAGCTCCTCTATCCCCTTCTTGGGGTTTGTGGCCTATGGCCTTCCCTCTCCCGGTCCCCCTACCCCAAGCACAGACTGAATGCACACGGCATCCCAGAGCTGTGCTGACTGAGGGTCTGGGGTCAGCACTGAAGACCTACGTGAGAGGAAGACTGCTCCTCGGCCATCCCCAGCCCAGAATGGCCGATTCCGGATGGTCTGAGGTGGCCCTGGAGTCTGAAACTGGCTGATCTGGGCTCCGCACCATTCCCTGTGGCAGTGGGGGCGTGTCTGGGTATAACAGAAGCACACTTAGACCAAGGCAGAGTTAGCTTGTTAGAAAAAGAGCAGGCAGAGGCAGGCGTGGTAACGCAGGCCATTAATGCCAGCTCTGGAGAGACAGGGAGATCTCTGTGAGTTCAAGGCCACACAGGGAGACCCTTTCTGAAAAAGAAAAGAAAAGGAACCATCTGGCTGGGCTTCATGGCTTTCAGTAAAAGTGAGAGGGACATTTCATGACACGTGTCCTGGGCCTGCCCTTCTGCCTAGAAGCAAAGGACCCTGGGAACTTGCAGTTCCCTCTCCTACCGCTGCCATGCTGACCAGTTTGGGGATGGGCACTGTGACAAAGTTTGTAAACTCTGAACACAGCTGAAGTGGCTGCCCCAGCCTGGCTCACAGTCCATGCCCCTGCTTCTTCTCCTAGCTGATGGCCTGCATCAGTGATCTCCCTCCGAGCGTCTCGCGCTGCCCCTGGACAGGCCCCCCACATCCTCAACACAGACCTGCAGATGGCCACCAGCAGCTCCTGAGAGGAAAGGACTTGGCTTTCCTTTTCTTCCAGGAAGACCCGTCCATTCCACCCAGGGCACAGTAACTAGACAGCCCTCCAGCCAGGCGTGGGGCAAAGGGGAGGCGTGTCAGCCTTTGCTTGTGTCTGGGAACTAAGAACAGGTTGGTCACCAAGCTGGCGTCACCCTGGGGGCCCAGCAGCCCCATCCTGTTTCTGGGACCTGTGAGTCAAAGAAAAGGCCCCTGTCCCAGGGGACTGACAGGTGGTAATTAGGCAGAGTTGGGTGGGGAGGCTCAGAAACCACTGTTGCCCCTGGAGCAGCCGCTGGGAGCTGGAGTGTTTATTTGATTTCTGACTTGCTAAAGCCTGTAATTTACCTGCGGGAACAGAGTCCAGCTGCCCAAACTGTGTCATTAAGAGCAGGTCCTGGGCCCATCCCCATCTAGAGACACACCCAGCGGAGGTGGACCCACCCAGGTGCCCAGGGATGCACTCCATGGAGTTCACACTGCACCCCTGAACGGGCCTCCCTCCCGGAGGGTGGGACCAGCGGCCAGAAGGAGGCTGGAGGCATGAGACTGGGGCCATGCTGCGGGACAGCAGCCTCTCCCTCCCTTTCGACATGGGAGGGTTTCCTGTGTGAAACCCAGGCCAGAGGAGGGGACCCTTCCATGTATACAAAGAATGAGCCCAGAAGATGTGCAAGATGGTAACTTCCCCAAGAGCTTCAACTGGCTGATCTTCCAGAGGACCAGGATTCAATTCCCAGCACCCACAGGGCAGCTTACAGTGGTCCTGTAACTCCAGGTTCAGAGGATCCAATGCCCTCTTCTGACTTCCAATGGCTCCTGCACACATGTGGTGCACAGACATACATGCAGGCCAAACACTCATGTACATAAGAATAAAAGTAAATAAATCTTTAAAAAACAAAACAAAAAATTAATTAATTAATTAAATAAAAGCTTCGGGGCTTCGAACAAAGGCTGGCTGGGATTGCACAAGGCCTTAGCCTGAATGTCAGGACACTGACTTGCTTAGTGTCTGGACAAACGCATCTGTAACACGAAGCTGGCTTTCTGTTATTGTAACAAAATGCCCGAGACAATCAGTTTGAAGCAGGAAAAGGTTTCTCTTGACTCACAGCTTCAGCGGTCTGTGGTTAGCTGGCCCCACCGCTTTTGGCTGGTGGGGAGGCAACACATTGTGGCAAAGAGCAGGGCGGGACGAAGCCACTCATCTCACGGTGGACAGGAAGCTGAAGAAAGGAAAAAGTAGATTGAGTCCCAGACGCTCCTTCAATGACACATGCCCCGTGACCAGAAAAACCTCCTCCTTAGACACAGCTGCCTCCAGTTCCTGAGCCTGGGACTAAGCCTCGGGTCCCCAGGCTGTTGGGGATATCCCAGATCTAAATTGGAGCAGTTTTTGGGTTTTTGTTTTTGTTTTTTTCATTCCATAGGTTCTTCCCGCCAGGGGACCTGTCTGCTTCCTTGGCCATTTCCTCTCAAAGGCTTGGCCATGGGACTCACAACCTTATCCGGCAAACCTCCCTGCACCGAGTAGGAGGTAGAGCCATCAATGTTTAGCTCGTCAGTGCCAGCATTAGCCTGGCTTGGTCAGGAGCACCCGTGTTTGTGAAATGAATGTTTGGAAGATGCCACCTCTGTACTGTCACAATGCAGAGCAGGAGCACGGGGCCACTGTGTGACTTCGTCCCACAGCAAAGTAAACCGCCTGGCGATCACAGCCTCCCAGTGCCCCGACATCTGACACCATCAGCCAACCAGGCAGTCGTGGATGGCACCAAATGGAAAGAACTTAGAGAAGAGAGAGACAAAGCACCTGGGACATCAGCATTGTCACCAAGACCATCTGGTTTAATGGTGATCTCTGACCACCCAGGTCACACGTTAGAAGCAAAATAGGCCTTCACTGAAGGCCCCTAGGGGCAAAAATAAGACAACACCACGGGACACAAACGCAGGGCCGCCTGTGTGGGGGACAGACCCTCATGACATCGTCACGGCTGCAGCCCAGCACATCTGGATGCCGGCTGGGTGCAGTGCTGTGCCCGTGTCCAGATGCAGAAAAGTAGGAGGTGCACTGTGGAGAAACCCCCTCCAGTTTACAGGAGGAGAGGCAGAGGGCTCAGGTTTGGAGTGGAGCAGACAGAGCTGCCATCAAGCCCTGGCCCTGGCTCTGTGACAATGACCCCTGCCCAGGCCTCAGTGCTAACCCAGGCCCTTTGGGTGCTGGGTTAGACCTGCCCTTGTGAGCCCCCTCACCCAAGGCTCAGATGTGCTCAGAGCCCTCAGCACCGGCCACTTGCGGAGGTGTGTGTAGTCTCTCTCTCTCTCTCTCTCTCTCTCTCTCTCTCTCTCTCTCTCTCTCTCTCTCTCTCCTCTCTCCTCCCTCTCTCCCTCCCTCCCTCCTTACTCTCTTACTCGGTTTTTTGAGACAGGGTTTCTCTGTAGCCCTGGCTGTTCCGGAACTCACTCTGTAACCCAGGCTGGTCTCAAACTCACAGAGATCTGCCTGCCTCTGCCTCCTGGATTAAAGGTGTGTGCCTCCACCGCCCGACTGATAGTATCTCATTTTAAATGGACTTGGCAGTGCGGCCCAGGCCAGCCTGCCTAGCAATGCCATCTTCTCCCAGAATGTACCCCTGCTGCTGTATTGAACAACAAATACAAATATAAACTCTGTGAGTTCGAGGCCAGCCTGGGTTACAGAGTAAGTTCCAGGATAGCCAGGGCTACATGGCTTTGTTATACTTACCCCAAACCATCTCCGAGTAAGATGTGAGAAGGGCCAAGCTGTAGCACTAGGGTCTCTAGGGAGGAGACATGATAGGTGTGGCCCTAACCTGTGGCGCCAACTCTGTCCTCGTGGGCGAAGTCTTTCTTCTTACTGGGGGGGGGGGAGCTCATTTAAAAAAATTCTTCCCAGCCAGGCAGCAGTGGCACACGCCTTTAATCCCAGAACTCGGGAGGCAGAGGCAGGAGGATCTCTGAGTTGGAGGCCAGCCTGGTCTACAGAGCAAGTTATAGTACAGTCAAGGCCTTGACACAGAGAAACTCTGTCTCAAAAAAAAAAAAAATCTTCTTTATGTAGGAAACTTACATATATACTGGGGAATGTTTTTTAAATTAATTTTAAATTTAAAACTTAAAGAATAGACTATAATTCCCGTAATTCCACCGTCTAGCTAACCAGGTTAATAGTCCTCCTGGTTTCTTCTTGGAGCCTGGGTACACATGTCCTCACCGGCTATGTGGGTAACTTAGAAAGTTAGAGTTGTACTGTACACTGCTGGTGAACCTATTCAGTATATAATGGACTTTAAAATTTTGTGATAGTAAATATTTTTGAAGACAAATTTGAACAGTAGTCTGTCTATACCTTGATTTCTGCCTCCTCTGCACAGGACAGGCTCCCCAGCAGGCAGCGGGTGCCTCATTGAGCATGGTCTCAAGACTGGCCCACAGCCAGGCAGTGGTGGCGCACGCCTTTAATCCCAGCACTCTGGAGGCTGAGGCAGGAGGACCTCTGTGAGTTTGAGGCCAGCCTGGTCTACAGAGTAAGTTCCAGGACAGCCAAGGCTACATACACAGAGAAGAGAAACTCCATCTCAAAAAAAAAAAAAAAAAAAAAAAAAAAAAAAAAAAAAAAAAAAAAGACCAAACAAAACAAAACCAAAAGCCAGGTCCTGCTGGGCTCTAAATCAATGAACATGGCCCACGTCAACCTAATGTGTGAAAGCCCAGTGCACCAACCTGGGCTGCTCCGGAGCCACCAAGGCCAGGGCAGCAGGCTTCTCTCCTCCCCTCCAGGTTTACCCTGGGACCCCAGATGAGAACATATCCTGAGAGCAACAGCCCCACCCACAGGCTCTTGATTTCAAAACAGACACTGGATCAGGTGGCCGCGGGTGGGGACGAGGTTCCCTGGTAACTGGTGGGGCTCAGCCCGTCCACACGAGATGCCACAGGGCATGGCGAGAAGGGAGCAAGGCCAGCCTCCTGCAGGCTGCCGTTTCCGGGCGGGACTCAGAGGGGTGGCGGAGGAACAATTCTGGCTTGTGTATGTTTGACGGTTCCGAAGGGGACGTGCATATCCCAATGGGAGAAACATTCTGTCGTGGCGTCAGGGGGTGAATGAGGAGAGGACACGTTGTGAGACTGACCAGAGACAGCCGTTAGCTACAGCACCAGTATGTGCGAGCAGAAACCGGCCTGGCCAACCTGGTCCCCTGTCTGGCCAGCAGGAAAACAGAAGCATTTCTCCCAGTTTTGATTTCAACCTTCCAGCACTGAGCACGTAGGGGAGGGGTCTCCCCAAAGTCTCAGCCTCAGGAAGGTTAGGTCTGTCCCAGCTGCCACCTCGGGGACCTAGCTGGAGGTCACTACAAAACCCAGGGGTTATCAAAAACAAATGACAAACACTGCTCAGGAGCCACAGATGGCCAAGCCAGGTTGTGGCAGGCCACGCCTGGGAAAGCCGATGGCTAGGCACAGCTGCCCGTGGTAAGGAGGGGCGCTCTTGTATTGGCTCCAGGCCCCAGCTACCCCTGGGAAAGTGCCCAGAGCGTGACGGGCCAGGCTGTACTTTGCAGGAACTGTTCCTGAGGAAGCCAAAGGGTTCAGGCCCACGCCAGCTTGCTTCACAGGACACCCCCAGCACCAGCGCTCACCAGGCTACCTCCTCCTTCCCGAACTCAGGGTCAAAAGCAGAGACGAGAGAGCACCTGTGCCAGGCAGCTGTGACCACCTGCTTTGGCTTCTTATGTTTGTGGCTCTGGGCCTTGACGGCAGAGCAGAAAAATCAGGGATCAAAGAGAAGGAAAGCCTGAGGGCCTGAAAACCTCAGGGATCCTCATCCGCACTCGGAATCCGACCACAGAGAGCCCTCTCTAGACCTTGCACAAGGCTTCTAGCCAGAGCAGAGGCAGGGTGACCTACTTCAACCTGCTTCAAGATAGTGGGGCCTTTGGGCCTCCCCAGACACGCAGAGCTCACTACCCAGTCGGTCTGCTTTGCATAAGTCAGGAAGAACTGGAAGCCACTGGTGTTTGGGCCCAGCTGGCCTCGGAGAGGCTTGGGAGGAATAAGCGCAGTCTCCCTGCACTCTGCCCCGGTCCTTAAAGCGTGTCTGCACAGCCCTCTGGCGGCTGGCTCAGGCTCTGGGGTGCGTTAGCCTCACCTGGTCCTTCCCTCAGCGGTGAGGCAGGCTAAAGAGGGTGGTTTTGATCATTTTAACACTGGTTTCTCTTCTTATTTATTCAGCAAATACTAGCTATGTGGACTTCCCGTGGAGGTCCCCACCATGGGGAAACGTAACCTAGTGGGGAAGGGTCACCCCAAAGATGACTGTAGAGAGCCTGGGGCACAGTGCCCTCACTGCAAGCAGGGGGTGTGGAGTCTGAATCTCCAGTACCTGTGTACGAAGTCGGACACATGTCTGCAACCTCAGCCCTGGGGTAGGGGTGGAGATGGGCAGCCCGAGAGCTAGATGAAACGGAGAGCTGGGGGTTCAGGGAGAGCTGTGGGTTCAGTGAGAGGCACTGCCTAGGGAGACACCAAACACCGTTCTCTGGCCTTGGGAAGCTAAAGGATCAGCTGTTACAAGACCATGCTCAGCTACAAGGCGAGTTTGAAGCCAGTCCAGGGTTCACGAAACTTCCTCCAAACAAAATGCCGAGGTCTGACAGGACAGCTCGGAGGCTGAAACACTCTCTGAGTCTGATGACATGAGTTCTCTCCCCGGCACCCACATAAAGGTGCCAGGAACGAACCGACTCCAGAGTTATCGGCTGACATCCACACGGACACCATGACATGTGTGCCCC